CCACCTATTTCTAAGAGTTCCAGTCAATACATTATATATCGTTTATTATATTCAGGAAAACTGAAAACAAAAACACGCTTCAGATAGTCGAATGGAGAGTGTGATAACTGCAGCAATGAATCTCAAGGGCTCTGAATGATGGAGAAGTTATTAAAAAACTTACTTTCATAATTTACGTTTTCATCGTCAAGTGTGTCTATTTTAGACAATCCAGGAATGATCATGTGGGTCAGTTTACACGTCCACCGATTGTCCACTAACACATTTGCAGCTTTCAGTCGTCCATGGTGCCCCAGTTTTGAGTGGTGAAGATATCGAAGACCCTAAATATGCAAGTAAAGTTACGACATTGGTTGATTCACTCCGGATCATTGAGATAGATATGTCAGTTAATTACATATTGAGAAATTATATTGATTATCACGAGGTGGCATAAGTCAGTCAAATATCATACAAACATAACTATATACACATAAAAACACAAAGATAGAGAAAGACAGACATAAAGAAAGAAAGAAAGCAAGAAAGAAAGAAAGAAAGAAAGAAAGAAAGAAAGACAGACAGACAGACAGACAGACAGACAGACAGACAGACAGACAGACAGACAGACAGACAGACAGACAGACATAAAGAAAGAAAAGAAAGAAAAAAAGAAAGAAAGAAAGAAAGAAAGAAAGAAAGAAAGAAAGAAAGAAAGAATGAAAGAAAGAAAGAGCGAAAGAAAGAAAGAAAGAAAGAAAGAAAGAAAGAAAGAAAGAAAGAAAGAAAGAAAGAAAGAAAGAAAGAAAGAAAGAAAGAAAGAAAGAAAGAAAGAAAGAAAGAAAGAAAGAGCGAAAGAAAGAAAGAAAGAAACAAAGAAACAAACAAACAAACAAACAAACAAACAAACAAACAAACAAAGAAAGAAAGACAGAAAGACAGAAAAAAAAAGAAAGAAAGACAGACAGAAAAACAGAAAGAAAGACAGAAAAACAGAAAGACAGAAAACAGAAAGAAAGAAGGAAAGAAGGACAGAAAAACAGAAAGAAAGAAAGGAAGAAAGAACGAAAGAAAGAATAAAGAAAGAAAGAAAGAAAGAAAGAAAGAAAGAAAGAAAGAAAGAAAGAAAGAAAGAAAGAAAGAAAGAAAGAAAGAAAGAAAGAAAGAAAGAAAGAAAGAAAGAAAGAAAGAAAGAAAGAAAGAAAGAAAGAAAGAAAGAAAGAAAGAAAGAAAGAAAGAAAGAAAGAAAGAAAGAAAGAAAGAAAGAAAGAAAGGGAGAGGAGGATTTGAAGAGAAAGAGAGACGCACAACTCAGATTCAGTGATTATCTATAAGGTTTTTGAGTTGTGCAATGTTTTGTAGCAAGTGAAATGGTTTGCCCACTTAGAGAGAATGCCTTGTGACACCATACCATACAAAGCATACATGGAAAGAGAAGAAGGACGTAGAGCAAGAGGTAGACCATAAAACAAGATGGAAGGATAACATCAGAGAAACTCAACAACAGCACGATGTGCCGATGGCCGAGGCGGCCAGAAGAGCTAGAAACAGAACCTTATATCTCCCTCGACACTTACAGCGGTACAAGAGGAGGTGAAGAAGAAGAGAAGAAGAAGAATGTTCTTTAGATGATGATGACGTCTTACTGAGCACATTCAACCACTGAAAATATTACACGATTTTAGGGAGGCTCAGGAAGAGAGTAAACAAGTAAAGAATCCCATGTTACCTTGGAAGGTAACAGTCATATGGTTCTAATCCCGTATTTCTATAGATCCGTCGATATGATCAGTTATAAATCTTGCATCTTTACTAGTATATTTCCCCATAGCCGTAATAGGTTCGGTCATCATGGAATCCAAATTGATTAAACCATTTGGTGTCAATGGGGATTCGAACATATATATCTCCAAGCTGCGAGGACGTGAATGTGCCATCTTTATGACTACCAAGCAACTAGAAGAAAACTTTTTCTGTATCTATATTCTTCCTATATTGGCGGTCAATTTCGTATTATGACTGACAGCTAGCAGCCATATCTGTCCCTTTCAGGACAACACAGCCGATTTCAACAAACTTAATTATCGCATTTTACAACATTGTTGTCAAGTGGCAGTAGGTCTGTCCTTCCTACTCCAACCCTCACCCAAAATGGGTTCCCTGAACCCACTCAAGGAAGATGAAAAAATTCAAATACATGTGAAAATGTGAAGTGTTGAATTTTGAATCGACATCACAGCACTCGGTATACTCCCATAAGAGCTCCATCCACATATTCAGCAGCAAGCTGGGAGATCAAATTTTAATGGTAGCAGTATCTGTCTGATTGTATATCCGTCTCGTCTCTTCCTTAAGTGTTCAGCGTTAGCCAGATCCCCTGGTAATTCTATCTGCTGGCTCATTTTCCAACCCACCGGCATAACCTGGATGTAATATCCAACTACCAAGACCTCTGAAGCGATGCTTCCCACTCTGCACGGAGCATGCCTGTCTCTACCTGTCTCAACATGCTCTGTGAGTCAGCGAAAATGACGACATGTGTGTACAGTTGACTTTCACACCATAGGAAGGCAGCAGTTACTGCCTTCTCCTCCATTCTTAAACTACATGTTGTGATATCATATGCCAGGCTTAGCTGCACACAGCGACGTTTATTCGCTTTTGCTATGTACCCCATGCACTTCGTCTGCCTCTTAACACAGAGCCATCCGTATAGATAATTACATCACCTGGGCGGGAATCGTCGTGAATCATTTGTTGAGCTTATGATTCTGTATCACTACCTGCCCAGTTTCCCCACTCACGACCTAAAAAGACTAGAACACTACAGAAACCTGATTCTTGCTCGAACAAATTGATTCACTCTACTCCTCGCCCAAATTTATGAAACCTGCACACATTTCTGAATGCCCGAGATGAGTCGTGTCTGCAGCAACTGCAAATTTGACTTTGTTGCAGAACTTTGAGCTTATTTGCAATAGTAGGCAGTTCAGGTGTGTATCGAATACATACTACCGGAGTATTTCTTGTACATCACAGAATTACCCGCATGGCTTCATTCTGCATGTGTTCAATTTTTATCAGCTGACTCTTTGACATGGTAAGCATTCCAAGTCTATAATCTATCACTGGCAGGACCACATGCTGGAACAGTGTGAACAGCATTCTTCGTCCATGTCCATTGTTTCCATAATCTTAAGAACACTTTTTGACATTTCGCTGCAACTGCCTCCACGTGTTCCCTAAAGGACAGACTTCTGTCGAAATGATACCCAGGTACCTCAGTTTGCTTTCTGTTTTTTTATATTTGAGTATTTTGTGTGTGTGTGTGTGTGTGTGTGTGTGTGTGTATGTGTGTGTGTGTGTGTGTGTGTGTGTGTGTGTGAGAGGCTGAGAACATGAGCTTTTACAATTCTATTCTCCAAAGAGCACCATAAAATAGCCGCCTTTTCTGAGCTGATGACAGCACCGATCTCTGCACACCAGTCACTATGTCTATAGTTGTCTGCAGCTCTTGGGCTGTCTGTTTCTTATGGTCCTACCGCTCTCCTGTCTTTATGTAAGAACATCATCTGTAAATGTCAAAATCTTTCCAACACCTTGTGCTTTAAGTTCTTCCTTCTTGGTTCCTTACATGGTTCTGAAGTCCATGTACCCAGGCGAAGGGCAACCATGCATGGATGTAGGACAGCTGCTATTCAGTTCACCAGCCAGGGACAACCACCCCTTATTCAATGAGCGCAGATAACAAAATATCGTATCCTACTACATTGTAGGCATCCTCAAGATCAAATGTTGCCACAACCATCTCCTTTCTTTTCTGGAACCCCTCATAAAAATCAACAGCAAAAGTAGCTGCATTTGACCAGATATCTTCCCTTGACAGGTAACTATCCAAACCTTTTGGTAGGAGCTCTTCCCTTTCCAAAAAACATTTGTCGTTTAGCAGCAAGAATCTCCTCTAGCGTGTTGTCTCAATTGTTTGTTGGGTGAAAATCCTGAAACCGCAGAGTATGGAATGACCTTTGCCTGGTTTTGGAAGTGAGATTAGGTAACTGTGCATCCAATGCTTGGGTATTGAAGCTGATCTGATGCTATAGTTGAAGTGAAAAACTACAAGTGAAAGTAAATCGCATACCTTTGTTATGTCATTCATGAAGGAGATCTTGAAAGGCATGTCTTCAAGATATTTCTTATCATTATGTATGACGTCCTGGACACTTCCTTTTCTGCAGTACTCCCAGATGGTCATCTCTTGCCCAGCGTCGACACAGACGCCGTAAAATTTACAGATATTTGCGTTACTCAGCTGGATGACCTAAAATAAATTCTGAGTGGATTAGTTCAGCAAATTTACAGTATTTACCATGTCGTTTTAGGCCGAGCACTCATGACGACATGGGTACCAGAACATGATAGATCAGGACCCACCCACCCCCCCCCCCCACCCATCAAAAAAAAAAAAAAAAACGAGGACTAAGCGTACCCCCCACCCCACTCAAAACATGTATGGAAGTCATCTATTGAAGTATTTTTTTTATACATTTTGGATGATTACAGATAAATCATAATTGCTTGCTCTTCATATCTGTGTGTGTGTGTGTATGTATATATATATATATATATATATATATATATATATATATATATATATATATATATTAATGGCAGTGCCGAATATTCGCTTCGTAATCGTTTCGGGGCTGAAAAGTGGATCTAATAACTATTAGGTATTGTCGCGTGCGGATGTGCACTAGAACGCACCAGTACTGAGTGAGCAAATAAGACGTCAAAACAATACGTAACGTTGTGAAGGTATTGTTGTCAAAGGAGTTGATGTTGACAGTCCGAAGGAGACGGACGTGTGGATCCTTGAGGACGCTTTAGCCTGGGATGCCACGGAAGCATATGTTGTATACAGTTGGATCCTTGAGGACGTTTTACCCCGGTACTCCACTGTAGACCTCAGCAGAAAGCTGGTATATTGTCACAGTTCGGCAGTAAGCCGGTACACTTTCATT